GATTTGTTCGATCGAATCGTATGAGAATACTGGTGAAAATGTGTTTCATATATATATATGTTTTTAAACATACATTGCCAATCAAAGATATTCTAATGATGTTGATATCAATTTGACGAACGATAATTGACGATGATGTGCACATTCGAATATAATTGATTTGATTAATCATCACATGATTAATTGAAATGATGAGACACGAATTAATTTCATTGTTTTTCATGTGCATAGATGTGAATACTTGTCCTTTGTTCATATACAGTCCTTTATGGACAATACATATTCTTTTCTTTCTTTTTTTTTTTGGATCAGAAGAAATTTCTATTCATCGTCATCATCGAAAAAACAAAAGCAATTAATTTGAATCATAAATCATAGAATTATTTTTTAGTACGACTTTTGAAAATTGATTAGAGTGCATTATTCAAATGAACATATTTATTTTCTTGGAAACACAAGATCAACAAGTCTGTTGAGTATGACTGCACTGTCATTATATGAAAACTCGTTAAGACGAAGTCAAATAACTGTACAGAAAATTAAAAAGTTTTCATAAAATTCGATTTCTGTCCCATCGAATGAATATTTCTGTTGAAATTAAATCACTAATAGGGTGTGGGTGTGGGTGTGTAGGTGGGTGTGAATGAAGAACATAGACACACCCACCAATTTGTGTTGCTTTGTTTTTTTTTTGACGAATTTCCTTATATTTTTTGTTACTAATACAAACAATTGAATGTCAATTATTATTAGTATAAAATGAGTTTTACTTATTTAGAATTCGACAACAAGATTTCTATGATCAATATTCATCATCATACAATGATTCACATTATTGGCATGGAAATAATTCAAATTCATATGATTTTTATGGTTCAACATTCATCTCATACACTTTTACAACAAAATAGCTTTACTCAACAAGTTTATCTTTAATATGAACAAGAATGTCTTGATGGTAAAAAAGACAACGTTGATTGTAGAGAAAAAAAAGATTATTAGTTCAGTACATGTTTACAATATTTCGAGAGAAACAAGCTACTGTTAAAAAAAAAATGAAATTATGTTACATTGAACGTAAAAAAACGAGTCTTTTAATGACTAAAGAAGAGTCAACATAACTAAAAACAACAATGAAAATTACTCTCCGGTAAAAATCAGAGTCTAAAAAGACTTATATTCTTATTTAAATAGCTAATAGAGAATATGTATGTTGCTATAATTTTCAAAAAAAAACAAAGATTTTACTCTTTTATGGAGTTTTTTTAATAAATACTATCATTCTTATCTACATGATAAATTTGAAAAGCAATACAATAATCGTCAATGATTAAAAACACTAAGTTTCACTAATCGCCAAACTTTATTATTTCATAGAAAATATTTATAATCGACAGTTATGTTGATTTACAAATAAAATACATTTTGTTTTCTGTAATGATCTAATTTCTAGAGAGCGTTAAACTTGGTCCTGGTCAATCAATGGAAATGGATACACTCTATCGTTTTTAGTCATTTTTCTTATGAAAAATAATAAGAAAAAAATTGAATATTATTATTTATGTATAGATATGGTGTTGAATGTCTATTTTGATTTTATACATATGGTATAGAAAAACAATTTCATCAACATGTATTTGAAGATTTTCAACATGAAACTCTTTGTGATCATGAAGCTGGCAATAAAATAGATTACACAAGAAAAAAAAGAAAAGTGTCAATAACAAAAATAATTTTTCTATTTAGGTCAATTATATTGTTTAGAAAAATTCTGGGCAACTTTAAAATATTCTCGACAGAAACCAAAAATCAATTCAAAACTTGAAAAAATTTTAAAAAAATATAGAAATCTTGAAGATTTTCGTGTTGATGGTGTATCATTTCCACAACAATTTTTTCCAACAAAATCAAATTATAGTAATTGAAAAAATGTTGTTTTTCTATGATATAAATAATTTCTTTATAGACTGTTCCAGCATTCGAAGTAATTGCTGCTGCAGTAGCAAAGAACAGTGATACATCAAATTCATTAAAACCCAATGGTGAACAATATCTGAACGGTGCTCACATTTTTTCAAGTGGATTTCGATTTATTTAAAAGTATGCATGTATTTTATTTTTTGCTTTCAAAGTTTATTGTTATTTAATCTTTTTCTATGTATATATTACATTGGTTTGTTATTGTAGTAGATAGATAGATTAAATAGTGATGCATTTTCTTTTTCTATCGATAGAGATATGAAAAATTTTCATATGGTTTCGTTTTGTTTCTGGAACTATTTGCTAATAAATTCATCTCGTTTATTTAATAATATTGGTAAGATATTGAGATAATATTTTATTTTGATAGAAGAATTTAGTGTTTTAGGAAGAATTGGTATTGGTTTAGGTATCGGTGGTGGTGTGACTAATTCTATACTTTTTAATGGTAAGTAATGAAAAGATTTTAAAGAAACTTGTTTTCTTTAAATTTAAATATATTCTAGTTGATGATGGTCATCGAGATGTTATTTTTGATCATTTTCAAGGTGTTAAACTAGATGTTATTGAAGAAGGAACTCATTTTATGATTTCATGGCTTCATAGACCAATTATATTTGATATTCGTACACGACCACGATCTGTTCCATCAATAACAGAAATAAAAGATATAAAAGCTAGAAGAAAACAGTCAACTTCAGGAGAGAGGTGAACATGAGGAAAATGTAAGCTCGCGAAAAAAGGAAGGTAAATACGATGTCTATTCAAACATCAATGAATGTATATGGCTGAGGTATCTTAAAAAATTTTGCGGTCATTGATGGCGACTCAACTGATCGGTTTACACCTCTACACTCTCATCATTCACCAATCTTAGGATACTTCATAAAACTTAAAACCGGAAGTTTCCGTTATTTTTTCTTCGTATAAATGAAATATGCATAAATTACATTTTATTATTTTTATTTTAGATTTACAAACAATTAATATAACATTACGTATTCTTTATCGACCAAGAGCTGCACTTTTACCAAAAATTTTTTGCAAATTTGGGTTTAGATTATGAAGAACGTGTTTTATCATCGATTATTAATGAAGTTTTAAAATCTGTTGTACTAAGTCTCAATTTGATGCTATTGAATTGATTACACAACGTACACTTATTTCTCAACGTATTAGTGAATTATTAATAGAACGTGCTGCTCAATTTGGTTTATTAGTTGATGATATTTCAATTGTAAGATACAACAAAAAAAGAGTCTCGAGTTGATTATATTGTTTTTTTTCTTTAAATTAGACACATTTAAGTTTTAGATCTGAATTTACAAGTGCTGCTGAACTAAAGCAAGTTGCACAACAAGATGTTGAAAAACAAAGATTTTTAGTCGAAAAAGTAAATCAATCAGAATAAAATTTATATGAGTTTGTTTTTTTTTATCAAGAAAAACAGACTGAACAAAGTCGTCAAGCAAATGTTATTGTAGAAGAAGGTGATGCTCGTACAGCTGATTTGATTGGCAAAGCTTTAGATGAAGCTGATGATGGTAAATTTTCGAATATCTTTTATTATCCTGTCTTACTTTGTTTTAATATTCATGTTAGATTTGATCGAACTTCGACGAATTGAAGCCGCTGAAGGTATTGCAAATCAATTATCAAAATCAAGAAATAGCGTCTATTTACCACATGGTCCTCAAATGTTACTTAACATTACTGGTGGTATGCAATAAAAATATTGTTTTTTTTGTTTTCATAGTAAACTAACAAGATTGATTTAGGAAAATAAAAAGAACATATAAGAGTATTTTTTGTATGTGTGTGTGTTTATAAACTATTGAGAATACTAAAGCATTGTATTGTCCTGTTTTTTGTTCGATTAAACAAAAAGAAGATCAGATCAACAATTCCATTTCATTTACAAGAAATTTTTACCTATCGACGTGAAAAAATTGGTGTAAGAGATGAGTGTTTAGAACTTGTACCAGCTGAAAATGTACAGGAAAATACTGTTGAAATAATTAAACAAGAAACAAAAAGGTAATCAAAATTAT